TTCACAAAATGCTACAATGATCTAGAACCAGTTGGCAGGAGAATTCGTAGAAATTCAGATGATATGCCAAGAGCATATGCAGAAGCACATTTGTATGGATATGATTATTAAACTTTATAAATATTGTGTATTGAGACACACAAATTAGGCAATTAGATTGGAAATATGTATATACACACATACACAGTCTGTTTGATAATATATTTATGATACTTATTAATATACCAATATTACATGACAAAAATTTTATTTTATTTACACTCATTAGTTTTTAACAAACTCTTAGTAAATTTTAGCAAAAATAGTTAGGGTATACAAACACCATATTGCAAGTGCTTTTTAATATATTGGCGTCTTTTAAAACTTAGGAATCTATAATAATCTATAATAATCTCATTAATCTGTATACAGCTTCAATGATAGTTAAGTAAATAATAGCCACTGGAAATTTGATATGAATCATATCTTTGATATGAATGGTATAGACTTTATTTTAAGAATATTTGACAGCAATTGAGTATTTCTCTTATTCATTTGTATCTTATTATATATCGGATCAGATATCGAAACTAGGGTTGTGTGATTATAAAAATATTTCTAGTTACATAAATCTGGCAATTTCAAAGAAAGAGGACATTAGTATTATTTTTAAATTTTATTATAATATCAAATTTTTCTTCTTGAGTATATAATCGCCTCATTACATAATTCAATCGCGAATTAATTTTATATATATAATATTAATTTGTAGTAATTGTCTATACTAACATTGCTTAGAGAATCTTCATTCATTTCAAGATTTCAAATACTGAAAACAAAACGAGTTTTAGCGTGCAAAATAAGACAGAAAAGCATAAACGAAGAATATTATATATTTATTTTCTATTTGCTTTATATTCTCTATTTTCTTTCATCCTGTAAATTTTTATCACAAAACAGTGCTAAACAAACATAATTTTATTATACAATCGCGCGCCCGCGTATAGAAAGTTTAATATAGATCCGCATGATCCAATCTTTCATGATTCGTGAACTAATCTGCAAGTATCTATAATCAAAATAAAAATGTAATAATGATTGTATAGCACAAATTAAATAGTGCAGAAAATTACATTTTTTAATTATCTATTTAAAAGTCTGTAAAGAAATGAAAAGGAAGGTTGGCTTGTGCTGATGTACAGTTTGCCCCAAAATTGGTGGAAAGAATATTGCTATTTCTTGCAAAGTTATATAAGGAATAAATCTACACACACACAAGAATATAACAACATTAATAGTTTTTAAATTATAAAAATATTTTTGAAAGCTTTTTGCGCGCACGAGCGTGACTAAGATTCAAAAATGCAGATAAATGTTTTTATTATTATTGTGAAGATTGCGAAAGATTATTATTGAGTGAAGGTAAACTTTGACAGAAGTTATGTAAGCATTTTTCTTTCACCATACATTCTTTTTTTTGTTACGTTTAATGATTCTTTTTTAGAATGTCGTTATATGCAGTATAACGATTCGTTGTGCTGTAGTTTCTTTTTTTATTATTATTATTTTTTTTTTTTTATTTGACGGAAATTGAACAACCCTAGACTCGACGCTAAAGCTAGTAGCCTCGAAAATCTCCGCCCGGTCGAGGTATGTCATAACGGGGATTTCCATCGTAAGACACCTGTGCGCTGAAGCCGTGTTGCCAATCAGCGGTGTATCGCACGACTTGCGTTCTGCCGTCCGGAAGTTGCACTCTATATTCGCCACGAACGATATCGCCGTCGCTAATAGCGTTGTGGGAATAATCATTGCCGAAAGCATCTTCCTTCACGGCGTAATTAAAGTCGAAGGGCATGCCGGGTTCGTGATGATGATGATCGTGCTATAGCGAGAGATATATCAGTTAAAGAGTTAAATATACACTCTGAGAGTCATCACAATATTTAAAATAATACCAATTCTTTCTTAAAATCTTTCATACGACTGATTATATTTGTCAAACATTTAATCATTTCTCTCGAGAAAGTATTTAGAAGGTATTTATTTCGTGTGTACTTACAGCAGGTTCGATAGTATTCCCGTTAATACCGGTCCCTTGGCCAGTATAGGTCGGATAACCAGGTGTGGGAGTCGGTCTAGGTACGCCGTAGGTCGGCGTCGGCCTGGGTACGCCGTACGTCGGCGTCGGCCTGGGCACGCCGTAGGTCGGCGTCGGTCTGGGAACACTAGGCGTCGGTCTCGGCCCGGGAAAGGTCGGCGTCGGTCTCGGCCCGGGAAAGGTCGGCGTCGGTCTCGACCCGGGGAAGCTCGGCGTGGGCTTCGGAAATTGCACCGGGGGTTTGCTGTACGTGTAACCGCCCTTCGTCGGCTCTGGCGGCAGATATGTGTTGCGCCGCGTGCCCGGTGGGAGATCACCAATAACATTGGCCACCGTCACGCAGAGCACGGCCAGCTACACAGGAGAAGTCGGGCTTGCTGAGAAACACGCTCTCCGAGCGAAAGAAATCACAGCACAGTTTCGAATATGATTTTAGAAATAAAATAATCCGTCCGATTTTAAATCGATATCAATAAAGGAATTCGCGTCGATAAAATTGACGATTAAGCCGGAGGAGCTTTCAATCGCGCGATATACATATCGATGAGAAGTTTTTCGTGATAAGACAAAAAGAGAGAAGACTGCCAGGGGTTGTTTTAAATCAAGCGTTATGACATTATCAGCTTCATAATATGAGGTTTCCGATCGTAAATAAATGGATATATTTTTTATCGCGGCTATTAAAGAGCGAGACACCTCTCTTACGCTATAATATGTGATCTTTTATTAATTTGAAGGACTTGGAGCGGCATTACATACTTGGTTGTACCATACGCGTGAGAGAAAGTCGTGTGAATTCTCCGAGATTTCAAAGATTAGGAATTTATAATTTCGCGGAATAAATCTTCATTCTTGTCGATCTATCTTTTTCTTAACACATTTATTACTCGTTATTATCATCAATTATATGTGCGTGCTACATTACTGCATTTATAAAAGATATTGCTAAACTTCGATAGAAGACCTTACTCTCGACGTTCTTAAATCACAAATTTCATATTTCCCGAATAAATGAAAATAAAATCGAGATAATGCGTTACGCTTTCAAACGTAATAATATACACACATTCGAGTTATAAACATAGCTATTACTTATTTCGAGATGCAAGTTTATCGCGTCATTTGCAATATGAATGCGCAAGACGAAGACGTGTTTTTATAATCGGAACATATGTCAGCAGTCGACATTTCGAGAAATCGTCCAGGTCCAGCCATGTAACGAGAACGTATGTAATAAGCCGTCGCGATGTCGCAAACCTGATGACAGTTTAGTGCCATCAGCGTAGACGTATATCGACATTCGGTGCATATAGATTCTATATCTTTGCAATTTTAATATGCATCGCACGTGTATATTATCGCAGAATTTCTATTTTATCGCGTTGCTTATTCTTCAGCTTCTCATATTTTAATATTTAATATTTTATAAAAAAGGCAAAATGTATATATTTTTAATAGACAACATAATTACAATGAAAATATTATATATTTTTATTCTTATTTTTTATCGTAAGAAATGTCTAAACTTTTTGCATATGAATATTATAGAAATAGGTCAAAATAGTTGGTTTACACGACGGGTTAATAGCCGGATACATGAGTTTCCGTCGAGCCTCGATTCCATCGCAACATGCTCTATGTCTAATACTAGAATCTTTTGTTCGAATTATACCCGGCATATCATCTCCGCGCAAACGGACGCTCCTCAACTTTCAGAGATCCGGTGTTGAATATCGCTACACAATCGTTCCCGTGGGTGACATTTATGTCGCGAGTAAGCGCTTATCAGTTACAAATACGAACCGTATCGCGAGTCGTATTATAAGCGTATAATTTTAATAAATCAAACGCGTCTTCTGTTACCGCCGAGAGTTTGATATTTAGTACGTCAAGACGTCGGGAAAACATTTTTTCCGTGGTGCAACATATCTCGCGTATTGTGACTTTTGATGAGATTGATGGAACTAATTATAGTCTGTGATGAAATGAAACATGTGTCGAATGAATAAAATAATTCTCATCCATCGTTCGCAATGCCTTCTTGTCAATATTATTACATGTTAGTTCACACAATAAATCGTTGGAAATTGAGATTATAAATTAAATGTAATTTTCTTTTTTTAATTTTTTTATACATGCTAAAATCAATAACTATTATTAATGTAAAGATAAACGACATCTAAGATTTAATTCACATATTATTCTACTTTTGCAATTTATCATATAACAGAAAAAAAATTGTGAGAAATATTTTATACATTTGAAGTAAATTAATTTGAGATTTAATTAGAGATTTTGCGTAAAATTTGATTATTGTTGATCAGATTTTATGAATTTTATTTTTGCATACTTGAATTTTACATTAATCACGTAGGAGAGAAATAATCATATAAATACTATCTGAAAGATTTATTAGAAAATCTTTTACGCGATGATTATAATACTGTAACTGTTTACTGGGCCAAGATAAATTATACAGTACAAGCAGAGAAAAAGACAATAAACTATAAGATAATATATTATATAATTATAATATATTTTTGTA